TATAATAAAATAATTATGTTTGAAATTCTCATTTTTATAATTGTAATTGATATAATGCTAGTATACATGTAAAAATCACTTTATACGCACAGTTGGGTGTGCTGACCGTCTAAAAATTATATTATAAATTATTATAATTTTAAATATTAATATATACGGTAAAATATTAAGTATAATAAATAATATATAAATAAAATATATATAAATATATATAAAATATTTTCATGCAATTGACGCTGTTGCAATTATATGTAAATTACATTACTTAGTTATTAATATTATTTACAATAATATTAATAAAAATTAATTACATGTACTTAGAAATCATATCAATATTAGGATGAAACTTTATTAAAAAATGTAAAATCGATTTTATTTCTACAATAAACATTTTGCTTTCAGTGGTTCCATTTTTAAATCGATCCATCTGGAATAAATGGACTTGATTTGTCGTTTAATATATTTTTAATAGACTGACTTTTATCAAAATTTCCTTTTTTCAAAATTTACAATTTGTAAATTTTTATTCAGGCGAAAAATCAATATACTTGGGGAAAATTACAATCTCTATTTACTCCCTTTCTTTGTTAATTTGCAAATTTCACACAATTTAATTCGAGAATCAAATATCATTTTAGTCAAATAGCTAACTAATTCAATTTCAGATCAAATTTTCATTGAAAAGAATATGACTGTATATTTCGAATGTAAACTATTTGGATGTCAGGATTCTATGATCTTTCATGATTCCTTCAACTACAAGTATTTGCAGATAAAGTCAAGAGAAATCTTACTAATAATTGTATGCGGAATGTGGCGTTCACGTGAATGATGTCTGCAACTTTTTAACGAGTCGTGCATTCCAGCGATATCATTATCTATGGTATACGCCGGAAGTCGCACCGTATTTATGTAGGCGCGACTTGTTCATGCATGGTGCAACGCCGTGGATTATACAAAAACTTTTATTGGCTTTTGTGAGGAATATGTATATTTTTAATGCATAATAGACGATTGTGTGCATACATCGCAAAGTTACTATTCGATTCATGAAATTGTACGTAATTATATTCGATATTTTGTATTGTCCATTTATCGCTAAACGTATTATTTGATTGTATATTCGTTTTCGTAATTTCAATTTAATCTAAATATTCATTTATTTATTTCATCGCTTGAATAGCGATGACATAAATAAATGAATATTTAGATAAAGTTTTCTTCTTATTTTTACGAGTCAATATTTTTTTTAAAAATATACGCATTAAAGCTGCAAGTAAATGTAGCCGATTTACATTTATATATTGTATGTAATAATAACGTCATATAAAACTGTGGATAAAATCGACTTGATTGTTAAATGCATTTACCATGAAGAGACGATAATTGTAGATGAGGCAAAGAAAAACGAGCTTTAAAATGTATTTTTGTTACAAGATAACTTGCATTGTCGATGTAAAATTTAATAAAACTTGGATTACGGACGGCATAATTTCATGACATAGCGATGTAAGATGTGTCGAAAGGACAAAGCTGCAATACCTGAACGTTAAGAGACACACAAGTGCAACTCACCCTCTTACCTGCCTCAGGTAGTAATACTACCATCAGCTAACATTGACAAGTACCTGATTTATAATCTTGCCAAAAAGCGCAAAGCCTTGAGCCTCCTTTCAGTTGGATTCACTGTCCATTATTACGAGATGTCTCTTGACCGACAGATTATTTATACAATGCATTGAATGTCCAGTCTATTTTAAGGGCAAAAGGATTCTTTGAACACGCAGGTAGGTTGGGAAGAAAAAAAAATTTTTTGAACCTACATGGGATTTATTGGCCATTTTCTTCTTATTACGCCGCATAAACTATCGCTGCTTTGTGTTTTTATTTTTTTGTCTCGAATCTCTAAAAGTAAACTCAATAAAATAAATGGAATAATGTATATTTTTACTGAATAGTACCTATATATACAACGAATCTTAATCAAATCGAATGTAATTGATGTTTAGGATATTATAATTCACGCAATGATAACATTGACTTGCGTGAACGACAAAAGAGAGTCTATTTTTCAAGAAACAAAAAAATTGACGTATTTTGTGATTGTTATTTTTATTAGGAATATAATGGTTTAGGATATATAGGTGTGTTGTATGATGTCATGAAAGTCTGCTGATATATGTATACAATATGAAATATCAAATCATTTAAAAATAATTAACAAAACTATTAGGGAAAATTACTAAAACTAGCAGAAAATGTGTCCTCAAGTAGGTTATTATGAATGCTTGGTCACTCGTATTGCTTTTATTAGCTTCCGTAATTTTAAGTTTTTTGTAGATAAACATTGAATATATAAAAGTAAGACACACTTTGCATTATTTTATAATCTATTTCTATTATGTATGTTTTAAATTAAATTAACTATATCTATTATGAATAAGATTAATAGCAAATGATAAGAAATTTACAATCTACAAATTCATACTTACATAGAATATAATGCATACATTTATTATGACTATTATTTATGAGATATAAAATATTGAATATTAATCATATGTTGTAGTTTACAAAATATAAAATTAATAATAATCACATTATAAGATGTAAAATATAAAATTTATATGCGTACGTGTGTATGTGGCAATTACAATGCAATGACATAAAAAGATGAAGTCTATCCTTAATCGACTTTTAATTGATGGCAATCGGCTTCTCATTCTTATTGCTCAGATTTTCAAAAACGTATTCATTATCTTTCAATATTTCATCGATTTCGAAACTTTGACGAATAGCGTACGTCATTCATTCTCGCATATCTGAATGATGTATAGCTCTGTATGTAAGAATGGTCAACAGATCGGCAAATTTCGGAATCGTATCTCGCATGCTTTTTAAAAACTTAGTGAGCTTTTTTTTATGCGTAGAACATAAAAAGATCACAAATTAGCACGACATAGACTTTAAGAATTCCGTAAAAAGAAAAGGAGGAACGATAGGGAGAGTAGTATGACACATAATATTAAAAAAAAAACGCGAGCGGATACGATATGATGGCAGACTTTCTTTTGGATATATACTATAAGATAAGCGAGACGACGAATCACATGAATCACACACATATACACAACACAGATTTGAATTAACAACACATGCTTTGCGTATGTGATGCATTCCTTTTTATAACCTCTACATCTATTAAACAAAAGAAGAAAGAATAAAAGAACATAGGGCTATTTTCTTCGGAGGACTTAAGAGTGCGCAAAAAATGCTGCCATAAAATACTTTTCCGTCTAATTTGTTTTTTTGATCCTTAGTCGTATAATCCATTTTCCTATAATCGTGCAAACGTAATTGGAGAAATAATGTATCTTCTTTACATTATAAAAATGTTTTATAAAAAATAATATATACACACAAAATCGCTGGATATTCTTTTCGTTATTATAGTCATTTCGATTGAAAAGGTCAATCCAACAAATATTATATATATTTCGAAATACAACTCTCGAGAAATTAATGATTGTAAATTAAAGAAATTTTATCAAATTACACTGCAGGAAAAAATGAATGATGAAATTTCCTCAACGAATTTTATAATGACTTTTGATTGGATTTTTAATATATATATTTGAAGGACTTACAAAAATATCCAAAATAGAAAAGTTTTTTTTTTTTTTAATTGTCCATAATCTCGATTATATGATCCATCTCGAACTGCTGAATATATATACATCAAAAACATTTCTAGTTAAAGATAAAGTCATGAAAATTGATTTTTCTTGCCCAATTAAGATCGTACAAATTACAACATAATTTTCCAAAATCTTATCATATGCCATTCGTAACTGTAGCAAAATTTAAAAATTCCTCGACTCTTATTTTACAAATACTTGAGTAATTCTCTTGTAGTAATCGAGAAATGATCTCTGATAAAAGCAAATATATTCTTAACTGCAGTTACGCGTGATTTCTGATCATCGATCGCGAAATTGACCTTCGTCTCACTTCATCTTGAATCTTTCTTCATTTTTCTCATGGCTTCGTCACCTTTCTTATCGTGCTTAAAACGTTCTCTTCTCTCATTTACGATTTATAACGGCTCCACGTAAAATTCTTCTTGTTTATGCGTAATTTATTTCATTTCTACAATCTGTTACTATTCTAATGTAGTTAACTATTTTGTAATAAAACAACTGATGCAAGTCTTTTTTTTTCTTTTTTTTTTTAATTGAATTAAATTTAGCTTAAGTAATCATTTTTTCGGACCATTTTACCATGTTTTATCATTTGTATTTTTTAGCTTATTGATTTATCACTATTTCTTTCCATGTGCTTTGTTTTAAAAATTTTTAAATATTTTTTAAATTTAAATAATGTGTATAGTAAAAGAATGCAGAGGGTCATGAATTGACCAATTAGAAATATTCTCAAGAAAAAAAGATTAAGGTCGAACCGTGATTGATAAATTTATTTATTTCTTATCGATTATTATTTACAGTTTAAGATTTTTCATACGTTTTTCAACCTTATTTAAATGATTTATTTAAATGATTATGTTAAGCGTCAGTATAAACATTAAAAAAATAATTACTGCAGTAAATAGCTGTTAAATTTATTTGCACAATTTCAATTTTCTTAAATATGTTATGAGATTTTTTTTATATGTTAGAAATTGTATGTATTTTATATTGTTATCTTTTTTAAAAAAATATTAAAATAATATCTAAAATAGTGAAATTTAAATTTAAAACGATAAAAAGATGAAGAAGGTATTCAACATTTTGTTCTTTTCTTTCTGAATTCATCGAGATAAACTGACCGATCTGGCTCGATATACAAAAGCCGTTACGCCAAATATTCCCCATAGTTACATAAAGCAAAATTCGTTGGAAAAAAGAAAGGAACGCAGTGAGAAAGAAAGAGCAAAAGAATGGGTCGGCTGCGTCGCGACGATCGAAGTAAAGCCAGCTAAGGCTTTTCTTCCTTTCTTTCAGGATATTCAGTGGAGACGCGAAACAATTAAAGAGGAGACGACGACGACGACGAGTGTTTGCCTAAAAAGAGAATTTTCGGAAGAGGATGCTCGGCAGTTGGGGCTGGAAAGAAGAATTGGAGTTGGGAGTGGGTACGACAGCCACGTTGCAAGAGAAACAGAGAAGAGAGAGCCCAGACTCGACGCATCCTGTTCCTGACAGCCGGGTGCTGAGGTATGCACCCAGCCGGTGTCACCACCCTCCCAACTCGCCACATTTCAGGACGCAGCCTCCTCTCGACTGTACGGACTGTGAGTCCCATCTCTCTCTCTCTTTTATGTTTTCTAAATTCCATTCAATACCACTACTTTTGTTTCGAAAAATTTAAATCTACATGCATAATGTTTATCTGTGTTATTTGATAAATTCTTTTTTAACGATAAATGACATTAACGATAATAATACACGTGTAAATATTTAGAGCAGCGTGAGGTGGCCAAAATGCTAACTGCTCACCCTGAGATGCACGAGAAGCGGGACAGCCTCGGTGGCGGACAATATGGAGCGGGCGGGGGTGGTGGCGGCGCTTCGATTGAAGAGAAATCTATTCCGGAACAACCACCCCCGCCTCCTGTACCGCCGCAACGAGATCCGTCAGATCCTACCATCAGCGCTAAAAAGCTCCCGAAGAAACGAAAGTTCGATCCATCCGAACTCGAGGAGATGGACAAGACTAGCAATGTTACCAGTAACATCACCAGTAACATGATTAACATACGCGCACCGGCGATGTCACTTGGCAGCCAGCCGGTAACTTTAGGTCAACAATCGAGCTTACCAACTATTATCAATCGGCAATCACCGCATGAGTCCGATTGTTATCAGGTATATTATCGATAAAATACATATTTCAGTACATATTTGTTGAAATTTTCATGTCTTTGGAAAATTTGACAAAAATATTAATCTTGCAAATAATATTTAAACATTACATGAAAAAATTTGATTTTCACAAAAATTTCATTATAAAATTTGATACAATATGGCCTCCTCAAAATTATAATGCGCTTTTAGCGCGAAATAATTTTGTGCCATGTTTTTTTTCTTTTTTTTTTTTTTTTTTTTTTTTTTTGATAAGAAGATATTAGCATAAAGATATTAGCATTATTTAATATATCGGATTTGATAAATTTCAAAATCTGCATTCAAGTTTGTATCTCTATACAAAGTTTGTTATTATATTATATATATAAAAACTAAAAAATTAATCCTATGAAATTAATTCTAGAAAAAAATTTATTATAAATACAAATATGCACATAATTTATTCCTAAATAATATAAATATATGTGTAACGTTTCTCTGTAATATTGTGTTTTAGGTAGCCACAGCTCATTCGGTAATAGCGTTACCTCCTCAAAGCATGGCGGTAGATTACTCTCTTCGCGAGGAACCTTTACGGTCTCGTCCTCGATTTGCTATTGATCTCAGTGAGTGGCGCGAACATAGAGTGTTAGCTTTAAGGGATTCATATTATTATCCGGGTGTTATACGTAATGTTGTTCACGGTGAGATTTTCATCGAGTTCGATGGCGAGAGGAAGTTGGTGCGTTACAGTGACGTTCTAGGCGGAAGACGATATGACGTGATAGGTGATGCAAGCCCGTCTTTGGGACAGGTGACTTTGGATACAAAGGTTTGCATCAGATGTCCGATCGCGAACAATCACGTAGACGCGACTAAGGTGTTTGTAAAGGGGACAGTGTGCAAGATATTAACGAAGCCTAATCGTTTTGTTGTGAAAATATCGCGGGAGGACGATCAGAGTGAAAGTTATGTTGTGAAACGCGCGGACCTGCGGCTAGTACAACCTCCCTGGGCCGACGAGTTGGAGGAAGGTCTGGAAGATTGCGATCTTTCGAGGGTTGAGACGATTGGTAATAAATCATATTTATGAAAGAGAGATATATTTTATATATATTGTGTAATAGTATTTCTCGAAAGATATCGTTTACTTTGAAAATTTATCACAGAACATGGATATCGCAATACCACGGAAGCTCCAACAGCAGTGCCAATCCATCATGCTTCTCATCACGCGTCGCATATGCCAACTCATAACGACACGAGTTATTATAGAACGACCGGTACCAGCCCTCTCATGACTTTAGGCACTTCTGCACATTCTGCCACGGCGTTAAGCAACGGCAGCCGGCCGTACGACGATTTAGAAAGCGAAGATGACTTAGATAGGGAAGACATTACATTTCCCTCGGATGCAGGTTAATATAGCGTAAAGTTTTTATTTTCGTTCAAAGTATTGTTTAGTAATTGCTACATATCGCATGCGAGGCAAAAGATTTACTTTGCTATAACAAATAGATTAAAGTATCATTAAAGTATAATTCGATACATTCTTTTCGAGAGAAATGCTTCTTATATTCTAAAGAAAAATCTAAGGCTTTTATCAAGAGAATCTTAGTCAAAACAATAGTAATACAAATATATTCAACTGACAGATGCAAAATTGTCAGGAAGCAGCAAAAGAAGCAGTATGCAGAGCCGAGGAAGTACCAGTAGCCTAGTTGAACAACGTAGTATAACGCCTCGTTCTCAGGCAGCCACACCCAGGTATTAATCAAATATATTAATTTTCAACAAATGTGAAATTATTAATACGTTAATAATAAAACTTTGAATAAATAATAATGCATAAGCTTATTCTTTTTTTTGTTAACAGATCTCAGGCGGCAACGCCACATAGGTATAAAAAGGGTGATGTAGTGGTTACACCAAGTGGAATTAGAAAGAAATTTAATGGGAAACAATGGCGCAGGCTCTGCAGTAAGAAAGAATGTAACAAAGAGAGTCAACGAAGAGGATATTGTTCCCGGCATCTTAGCTTAAAAGGATCTGGCCTTAGAGGTCCGACAAATACATTTCCTGGGTATGAATGTTTGCTTGCGTTATATTTGCAATGGTATTGCTTAAATATAAAGATTCTCTTTTTCGTTTATAATTACGATTCTGTTTTTAATTTACAGTGGTAAAATGGATGGCGAAGAGACATCAAGAGATTCCGATACCTCGCCACATTATGGTGACAGAAGAATAGCTGGTAGATTCGATCAAGATGAAACTGAAGCTGCTAATATGCTCGGTACACATGCTATATAATCAAAATATTTTAAATCTTTCTTTTATATTTTTATCCTGCATTTATATTATATAGCAGCATATTTTTTTATAGCAGAGCGCTTTGTCATATAATATAAATTGAATACAAGATAGAACTTATTACAGTTTTCTTTCGAGCAAGATAATCTAAAATAATGTATAAAATAAATTCCTAAATAAAAGTAAGTAAATAATCGTTTCTGCTTTCGTTGCAGTATCTTTAGGAAGTTCTAGATCGGCTACGCCAGCTTTCTCGTCACCAACGGGCCAGTCTTCTATATCTCCGTGTATAAACCAGTCGCCGGTGCCACCGTTAGGACTCAATCAGAACAATGTATTTATGCCTATTTCGAGTCCAGCTCATCATGCAGCTCCGCTGATTTCGCCCGGCGCTAAATGGAAGCATTCGCCCACGCAATCGAACTTTTTGGTTCAATATCCGCAACAAGTGATAAAACCCGAGCCGAATCGAGTGGTCAGATCGAATCGAGCAGCTCCCGTCCCTGCCAGTATAGGAACGAGCGTGATAAGAATCTCTCCGGTGAACCGTGGCATGCAACCCGGACAGAATCTTGCTCTGTCATGGTCAGAACAGAGTCCACCGCCGACAAGACATCCCTCGGTCGTGACATCAACAATCGCTCAACAGCAGCAACAAAGTATAATCTTACAGCATGCGTTAACGTCAAGCGCCAACGATTTTCATGCCAATCACGCCGAGATGCCCGAACAAAGTCCGCAGTTGATGAAACATTCACCGCATTCGCCCCATATGCCTCTATCCGCCACTCCTATGCCGCAAAATTTGACGCTCATACACAATAAACCGCTAGAGCAGCCGGTCGATTACGCGCAACCTCCGCCCCAGGGCCCGCCAATCTATGTAATGCAGCATGAGAAAAAGTATCTTGTGATAAAGAACAGCATGGACATGTCAGCGTCGGCGGGTGCGCACATGAGCAACCAGGATGACAAGTATCGGCAGAGCTTGATGAACCATTTAGGTCAATTATCAACATCGACGTTACATCAAGTTCAATGTCAACAGCCAACTCCTCAATCACCTGCTGTTTCATCCGTCCACATTGATAAACTATCTGTTTTACAACCTGTAAGTTTACGATATAAATGGGATTGCTAAGTAAGTGATTTATAGATAAACGAATTGGAGTCGATCGAGATCTACATCGCATGAATCATTTATTGTCATTAGATGAATAAAGTGGGCGCGCATACGACTGTGCATATGGACATGCAGAGAAGCCAACCGCCACCTACGAGTGCTGTAATGACTACCTCTACCACCGAGACATCTATTAATCCATCTACTCCGACAAGTGTCTTCCAGCATGTAATTGTTCAGCCCTTGCAGATTCCAAAGACGCAAGCCGCTAGAGAGGAGAATGCGAAAAACAATGGTATCCTCTGTAAGTTTCTTATGTCATTTTTTTAAATTCTATTTTTATATATATGCAATCTTTTATAAATAATTTAAAGCATTGTATTTTCTGTGAAGTTGAAACGTTATTATTTTTGTTTTTAGTTTATTTTATTACTTTACAATCGTTTTCCCAATGAACTGAAAACTGTCATAATATAAAATTACTGTCATAATATAAAATCGATAGTAGCAAAAGCAAGTTTGACTAAACGGTAAGGCTTTCGCAGATGGCAGCCATGAAGTTCCTCCTGCATACCAGCCCCATACCCCATCATTACTGAACAATGCAACACACAGCTGGAAGCTTAAAAAAGGTTTGAGTTTTGATTGATAATTGAAATGAATATCGAGTTTATGAAATTGTTGTAAGTTGCAACTTATCAGTGGTACATGATATAGTGCAACAAGATACATCTATTATAAGCAAATGTTATTACAAGTATTGATATTTTATTACATGTGTTTTTAATGTTTTTTTTTTAATTTTTATATTTTTAAATGTAATGTATTATATTAAATTTTTATTATATTAAATTTTCTTTTTGTTTTATTCCTTTAAATATGCACTAAGAGATAAGATTACAAGAAAATTTGTTTTCTACATACACAAGTATTATGACATCATTATTCACACATATTACAGACAATATTGTTTCAACAGATATTTTTAATTTTGTAGTGTTTTATTTTCATGTACTATTTCATGTACTGCAGTGTTAATCTTGCAACAGACGCAATTAACTAACAAACTTTATACTCAATTTTTTAACTTTTTATCTCATTTAACATACATGACAAAATACATTTTCAATGATTTCAAACTTTAATGCTGGGGAAGAATATCCATAAATATTGGATTGTTAGAAAAGAATATGCAGATTTTTTTTTTAATTCAAGTATAATATTTTCATATATATACAACTTTATATATACATATATCGCCTTTTTTTAGAGCTTTTTATTATATTTGTTGCATAATTTGAACATTTACTTGTGAACAAATATAATTGTACAATACATTGTCTCAATAATCATCTACATTTAGTAGAATCTTTTCTTGATCTATTTTCAATTACTACCTATTTTTTATCTTCATCTCCTGTAAACTGCAATTTTTTCTTTCATCCCTTTTTTTATTGATTATGTAGAGCGCAAAATAGTGCGCGACAATATTTTCATTTTTGCGTGTATGCCATTAAGATAAGAAGGATAATTGACAAATTTCACGGATAGCCCCAAAGAGATTCGAGGATAAAGGATTTCTGTTGTATCGATAATTTGTTTAATCTTTTTGGAAAATCCAATATTTAATTCATTTTTAAATTATTTATTTTATTTTTAAATTACCATTCTATCGGACATATATTGTAATTCATTATATGTGTTTTATCCCATATATAAATGCAGTACATTAAATAAATCTCGAATAATCTTTAAAGTATAATATACTAATTTTTCCTTTATCATAAATACTTTATTGGTTAATGGCGATTCTCTCAATTTATCAGTTCTTTCTCCTAATTTATTTTCTTTTTTAAAGACATGGAGCAACAAACACATCTATGTACATACTATGCATATTGGCTGCTATTTCCATTTATCATCATTACTAACCACAATCATTACAACTAACTCATTAACTTCATTGCAGCTTTTTCCTGGCAGACGACAGTTGTGGAACCATCAGAGGTGAGCCCTCCTCCCTCCGCTCTCAGCCCGCCTCTGAGCGCTCCTCCGATTCCAATAAGTATGAGCACACCTGCTGAAGATGGTCCTGGTACTGGTTCAGATCCTATAACACCTGCCGAAGAAGAAGACGATGACGTTTTCGAAACGGAACCAATTCCAACCGCGGAAGTGGAAGCCAATGCTAATAAAAGACGTAGTCAATCTCTCAGTGCTTTGCAATCGCAGACTCCGCTGAAAGTAAATTTCCGAACCATTATTATAATTTAGAAATAGAATTTAGTAATGTACATTAAAAATAATAAAGAAACAAATATAAAATGATGTAATTGATATAACTTAAAAAATATATATTTATATACACTCAATTATATATATATATATATATATATATATATATATATATATATATATACATATATATATATACATATATGATAATGATTAAATGCTCTCTAGATTCTTAATAATATAATAATAATAATGTAATAAAAAATAATAGGAAAACTATATTCAATAAAATTTTTGTTATTTTTATTGATATTATGCACATTTAATTTTACAGGCTAAAGAGAGAATACGACGGCCCATGAACGCTTTTATGATTTTTTCAAAACGACATCGCGCTCTCGTACATCAACGTCATCCGAATCAAGATAATCGCACAGTGTCCAAGATATTAGGAGAGTGGTGGTATGCGTTGAAACAAGATGAGAAACAAAAATATCACGAACTTGCTTCGGAAGTGAAGGAAGCGCATTTTAAGGCGCATCCGGACTGGAAATGGTGTAGCAAGGACAGACGGAAATCATCAACGACCAGCTTCAAGGGAAACGAAATCGGAAGAACAAAATTAAATAGTACAGGGGAAGAAACGGATGCACTTCAGGGTTCCTCCTCAGATGATCCATTGGCGCTCACGTCTATCGACGAAGTGCCTACTCCGATCACTAATACATATAACGAAATTCCAAATAATATTGAGGTACGAAATCTCATAATATGTATCATAATATATAGTTATAAATAATGTAATAGTGAGCATATTTTGAAAGATTTTTTCTTTTTATTTATTTATTTGCTAAGAAAAAAATATCCATTAATAAAATTGTTAAACTGACAGATTATAAATCAGTCGCATACACAACATCGCATTTCGGAGATTCCTTTGCAAGTTGAAAATACCGAAGTCGACATGAAGCAAGATGACGATGCAAATGGATCAGATGACGATCAGATGGTGATTTGCGAAGATCCTCAACCAGAAATAGATTTAAAGTGTAAGGATAAATTAACAGACAGCGATAACGATGTGCAAGATAACGAGGACGTGGAAAAGAAGTGTTTTAATCAATCGCGATTCTCGCCTGTGAGCGGTCAAAAAAGAGAAGTAATCAACGTTAAACAGGAAATAACCTGCAGACCTAAACCGATAAAAGGTATTTTTCGAATTATATAAACTAATGTATGTGAAAATTATATATGTAAAAAGTTAATAATAGATTAATCTTGGAGATTAATAATAGGAGATTTAACAATATGAATCTTAATGTTTATGTAGCAAGGATACCCTCAACAGGTATAGAATCTACGACAAAGTATCATCATACTTCCATGGATAAAGGCGGTACTGTATCAGTTTTGTCAAGTACCTATCCTTATCACAGTCCTGTCAATCCAACAGGAGTATCAGGGTTTCAACCTACCGGTGGTGCTTTTATAACTATGCCAATATCGCCAAAAGTTATTAAGCCAGAACCGGTAAAGAGCGAACAACAGTACAGCACTCAGTATAGCGTGAATAATCTTGTAAGCATCCACACTGAAAACGGACGGAACGTGCCTAAATTTACAGCAGCTCCGGTATTACATACCGTAAGTATCAGACAAGCGGACAGCCATTTTTAGTCATTAGAGATTCTATAAATATCGCATGACTGAATTGTTATGCGTGTACATACAGATTGAGAGTAACAATAATTCCTTGCATCGAATATTATCAAATATTCGGAATAAATATAAATATAATTTACAAAAAGTTTAAAACTTTACAGACACATTACTAGAAATTGACTTTAGAAATTTAAACAAGAATAATAAAAATATTATGGATTTATTTTTATCTCCTTCCTTCACATTTCTCGTGCTCTTTTTTTTTTTTATTCTTTACATATGTTATATTTTCATACACTTATATATGTATACAAATTATTTTGTACATTTTTATTTTTTTTATTGAACAATATCAAAATTACTTTATTTTAGTGTAATAGTTGGTTTAAGAAAGTAGTGGTGCCTATATCTTTTCTGAATAAATATCGAAAGATCTTCAAAGATCTTAAAGATCTTCAAAGACTTGAAGATGAAGTAACAAGTTTAACAATACTAACAGATTGGATCGAAACCAATGATGGCGCTGTTGAAACAACAGCAGCCGTTGCAGTCTTTAGGCACTACTCTTCGTCCCCTTACTTCAACTATTCCTCATCAACCACCGTTCACTCTAACATTGCTCGATAACGATTTGGTGGCTGTTTCCAAACCGCAGCAGGGATCGCAGCAGTACCTTAATCCGACACCATCACACTCCAGCATGTACGGTGGATTTCAAATACCCATCTCTGGTGAGTAAATAAATTGTTATCACATGCTCTTTTCCAAAGTGTCTGATAATAAATAAGTGACAAATATGTAATCTGTTTATAGATGCCAGTAGCCGTAACAACTCTATACCCATGCAAAATTTAGTTCCCAATAACAAGATGGAGATTCAAAGCGTGATTGTGAGCAAATCTTATCCCGTCTCGACAAATTCCACTACGTCAACTTATGGTCGAGGGACTGGCCATTCTATTGCTCGCCTCGCCGGGTCTGAGAACAATAATCTCAATGATAATCAACAAACTATTACGAATCACGCTCAGTTTTATGGTAACATCTTTATTTGTATGAATTTATTTCATAGATATGCAAATACTTTTACGCGCTTTTGCGCGATCACATGCAGCACTTTCATCATTGCTTCTTCTTTCTTGTTACAGTCAGTAACATAAAAACAGAAGATAACAAGGAAACCATAAACATTGTTCTTCCCGCGACGAATGAGAAACACAAGCAACCATCGACGCCTCACACGCCGCACACGCCGCATACATCTCAAAGTAATCACGGAAGCAGTGAACTGCAATCGAATAAATCATATACGTTCGACGAAGGCCAAAGTAATGATATGGGACCAAATAAAGGCCCATTCATGCTTGCTCCAACTCCGGCACAACTCGGTCGAGCACCACTACAAAGGAGACAATCGATGGGTAAATAATAATTCTCATAACTTGTAATTTTCATACAAAAGAGCAGTAAATGTATTAATACTATAGACATACAAGAGATTTCAAGATAACACAAGTTAACATTACAAAATATTCTTTTATATAATGACATTTTCTTTAACTAATTAAGAATTAAAAATTTCCTTAATGAAAAGTTTGAATTTTGTATCTATGTGTAATCATAAATTGAAATTATATTGCGACAAAGAAAACAAGACTTTGAAATCCTTTTTTTTACAATTTGAATCATGAAATCAAATGGAAAGAATAAGATCCAAAAATCAATTAAAAAATATAGTTTTGCTATTTATTGTTTTTCTTTAGAAAAAAATTTTAAATGAGCTAAAAAATCTATAGTTAAAAACAAACAAGTTTTGATATTCTGATAGTTTTTAAACATACATTTTATATATTTTGATGAATTTTTATTAAGTTCTCGTTTCTATTTCTTTTCTTCTATTTATTTCATTTTGGCAGCAATGCCTTCCGCATCCACTACAGGAGACCATGGGCCAATGACAACGTCTCAACATTGCGATAATCGGCCACAAACCAATATATCTCAAACAACAGAGCAAAATATAGCAGAGTCTCATATTTCTCCTTCTCCTTCTTCTAAAAAAGGCTCCTTTTTTAAGAAAAACGTAGAGGATGGTATGGACAGGTACATATTTTTAATCACTATATTATATTAACTGTTATATTAATTGGAAGTTCTGCATCAGATTAAACTTGATAATATGCATAATTCTTCAACAGAGTTCTTGAACAAGTAAACTTTCAAGAAAAGTTCTCATCGTTGCCAGAATTCAAACCGGAGGATATACAGAGTCCGAGTGCGATCAATATGAACAATCCAGGTTCATCTGGCCATACTAGTGTCGCTTCCGGATTACATTCACAAACATCTATGCAGATGCCAAATTATCGAAAGAAATCTGCACAATCTGGACCTCATAGGCCCACAAGTAATAATTACGCTAAATCGTTCTATATTATTTTGATCGGATTTGTATATGATATTACTGTATATCTCAATTTTTCCCTCCTCGAACAGTGAATGAGGATGAAATCGACTCGGACACATCGATATCAGCCACTCCAAAGTCTACTTCAAGCGTCAAATTAACCGGTAACACATTTTTTGGCCCGGATTTCAATGTCGATGCTTATAGAGCTAACAATGATTTATTGGACGTCGATGCTACTTCTCCGCGAACGCCAAAAACTCCGGGAGGCGGTGCCGGAAGTACTGTAGGAATCGGTAGAAGCGAGAACGAGCGTGGTCATAGAAAGACATTGGAGCAACGGAGAAATCTGGTCATGCAGTTGTTTCAAGAACATGGTTACTTTCCATCCACGCAAGCCACTTCCACGTTTCAAGCCAAGCATGCAGATATATTTCCTACTAAAACGAGCTTGCAACTAAAGATTCGAGAGGTTAGGCAGAAATTGAAGGCCAATTCGACGCCGAGTGCTAATAATCTCGTCAGTCCATCGCCAATCTCTGAATCCTCACCTGTTGTAACTGGTAAATATAAAAAATTTCAGCTGTTTTTCTCTTATTTATTATAAATTGATTTGTGTGTGTGTGTACAATGCAATTGTATATTTTTCCGATGCTTGTTTAGGTCCAACTGCTCCTCCAACATCGATGGGAGCTCCACATTCACTGCCCGTAAGCAGTAGTAGTGGTAGCTAGCACCCACGTGCCAACTGTGATACTATGCATCCCCTTACTCCACAACACGAATACATTATTATCCTTTGAAGAGCTAAATATTTACTAGACAAGTCGTTAGTGTCGTGCACACTCTCTCTTCAGAACTTGTAAAGTACTGCAAAAGGCTTTAGTGCAATTTTAGATTTTCAAGTCTGCTGCAGGCTTGATTTAATGAGCATGCCGAGACGTGATTGATATACAAGTGATTTTATATATAATACTGAGGTACATATATATATATATATATATATATATATATATATATATATATATGTATTACTGTTCATATAATAATTTATGATTATTTGTCAATTGCTCTCTTAGGATAGTGTATATTCGGATACTCGTGTTCAATCGTTCAATTTATTAAATAAGAAAGCAAAGAGAATTGCAAATGTTCAATAATTAATAGTTTGCAATATTTCGAGACATTTTATGATTTAGTAATAAATTTGGCTTTACGAATCTAAAAATAATATACTAGTGCGAAATAGACACACAAACGTGTTAAATTTATCCGATCTTCGAGACAAGAATTTTATTCTTTGGAACGGAAAAAGACAATACTGCACTATAATACAAATCCGAGAATTACAAAGAAAACGAAAATAATGAGAAATATATGTGATATTGTATTTTATTATATTTGAAAATTGTAATTCGCATTTCACTGTGAAACTTTTAAACCTGTGTAATTGATGTTTGTATATCAATACGTCTAGCATGATTCAAAAAAGGCCTAAGCCATTGTTAAGTATTGTTGAAATATGAAATAAAATTCATAAGGAAGGAGAAGTGAAGAGTGAGAAAGAGAGAGAGAGAGAGAGAAAATTGTAATTGGAAGCATTATGGAATATAGAATTAATGGAACATTATAAAATAAAATCAGAGTTTATATACTTTAGTTATACTTTACATATATATATATTTACATATATGTATGTACGCATGTATGTATATGTATATATTATATAGGTCGAAAAACTCTCTCTATAGAATGAAAAAACTGCGATAAACTGCACAAAATTTATGTAATAGATCATTCATCAGAGAGATGTTTATTTCACGTGTAAATATAAAATGATGTCTTGAGAGAAAAAATATCTAAACAGTTGTGAAATGTCTACAATTCTCTATCTGAAGAACTGTAAGAGCACTGTATTCTTGAACCATATATATATATATATATTATAATACAAGAGATAAAAATCGTGCCATTGTGCGGCGACAAAACAAAGGGAATGCATGCGCTATAATTCCCTAATTAGCGAAAGAATGATTGTTAGATAATTCTTGATATAAATAATATGTAATATGTTTTCAATATTATTGAAAGTACTTATACTACTGTTTTTTTAGAATTTTACTGAAATTCAACGCGTTATTTCATATTTTATAAGTATTTTAAAAACGGTCTTTTTCTTTATTTCTTTTTTTTTAATTTTTATTTTCTTTTTTGGCCCTAGATATAAGCGCTTTTATAAGGCAGGTCATATTTTTTTTTCCTTTTTTTTTGGCCGTGACAAATACCCATTTTATTATTATTTTTATTGCACGCATCAAGTACTTAAAACATATATTATATGAAGAGAGGAGAAAATGTATTCGTTATAGAATATGAAATATCGGTATAAATTTTTAGTATGACAATTATACAATTATTAACAGTAGCAATATACTAAGAATGAATTCGCGTGCATTTTTATGAAAATATAAACATTTATACTGTTTATAAATTTGTACATTATGTTAAATGGGATCGTTGGAATGTTGTTATATATATTTTAAATTGATTTATATATTTTCTTTATTATACATAAAAAATATAGTATATTGCATCAATTTTAACACCTTTTTTTAGTAATCCAACGTTTCCCTCTTTTTTTATATTAAATCTTCGAGAATTATCGTGTTGAATTTCAGCAAAGATTGTTGAATTTGGCTGTAAAATAGATTATGTAATTAGTAATATAAAAAAAGCGCACTTTGACAGGTCTCGATAAGTCTCGCGCCACGGCACGTATACTGTAGTTAGAATACGAGATACATGTCTATTCTACATATTTTGTAAATAGAATACATATAATGTGCTAACTTTATATATAAATATGTATATTTATTTATATATAAACGTAGCATGTATAAAGAAGATGATAGAATATATGCTATTGTAATTTGTAGAATTATAATTATACACAAAAAAGCGCAGGCGGAATTAAGTTTAGAATAATTGCAGATTATGGGCCTTTATCTGTAGTGGACTCTTGTGCTCGGGACGGTCCTCCCACCCTTCTCCAAAGTTAATCCTTTCCTACAAAGTGTTAGGATATATTATTGTTTGTATATAATACAATTATATTATCATCCTCTTATCTCTCGTCTCTTGATTTATTATTTTTTATCAAACGTTAAGTGCACTAGTGGCAAACGGTAGTATAAGAAGAGGGACACTTAAAGCCTGGGTTGATCCTGTTTTGTAATATTTTCGTCAAATTTCTAATTATTTAATCTCTTAAGTGTCTATTCTGCCAATGTGTGAGAATTATTTTCAAATGCAAGCCATTTTAATACGTTTTAAAATGGTTAATGGTTGCATAGCAATCAAAGGATATTGTATAATTGTAAAAATATTCTAGAATTACATATACGTGTGTCATTTATGTCGCATGTTGTGAAATATGTACAAGATCGTTTTTATTTAATTCGGCTGAACTTAATAAAGTGCTTGGTCCACGAGATTCGAAATTCAAAATTCAGAAAATTCAGAATTTTTTAAGAAAGAGGATATTTTATCATATATTTTAAATATACGAATGCTCAAGTGTGCGTGTGCGCGCAAGCGTGCATATGTGTGTGTGTGTGTGCTACATATGTGCGTCTCGTTCTTATTATATATTTATATGTTACATGCCTACAAGATCTGTTCTATGCAGAATCTATCAAATTTGTCAAACATCTGTTCGCAACAAATTACTCAAGTGCTCATTTATATACGTTCCATTCTTCGTAAGGAAACGGTAAATGTTTGAGACACATATATACATTATTCTTAGTTTTAGATGAAACAGGATCTAAACAGGATTTGAATATCTCTCGCACTAGCCCATCTGAAAGAGATAATTAAAAATATATTTTGTACTTGCGTAAACTAGCAAACTATTTTCCAGTATTTATAAGATTCTTAAAAAAGCTTTGATATATCTTCTTCCCCTTTTATTTCACATGGTGATGAAATACGTTCCGTGATTTAGCAGCCATGAATGTGACTGTGATCTAGAAAAAACAGAAGTAAAGTAAAAGTGGCAGCTACTCTACCGACTATTTCTTCACCACATAACTTCCTGCGCGTGTTTCTCCCCTTCCTCTTTTTTCCTCGATGTATAAACGAATATGCACTAAAAAAATCGAGCGCTCTTCTCTTTACACTATTCATTTTTTTATTATTTGCGTTAGACGTACTTTTATTATGCTTTATAGTCGCAATACATTTAATATTCATTATTCTATTATTTTTCTTGTTTCATTTTAAAATATTTTTAAAACTGTTATGTAATTATATATATATATCTCTCTCTCAGTCAAGATTAATGTTATGGAAAATATTAGCATACAAAAGTAAAATAATATAGAAGTCGAAGAAACAATGACTCTCTATATGTAACTGTGCAGTAAAGAAACTTCACATCGACACATTGTACGCGATGTATACGTGCATATAAACGCGTGTGGAGTATATATTTCATTACATGTGTAATATATATACACACACAAATATACATATATATATATAAATGTATAAAAAATTATTAAACGCAATCGCATATATATGACATCATAGCATATATTATATGTATTATAAAAAACATATATATGTGTATATGTGTATATATATATATATATATATATATATATATATATATATATTTGGCTGAAGCATTAAAATCTGCACCAATCCAATAAGATAGATAATCCGCTCTTTAAATCCTCAGGCGTGATTGACCGAAACTTCTTGTGTGTATAATTCTTTTCAATGTTGCAAAGCAATATACATGTATGTATATTCTCAAATATAAATTTGTATGGATATACTAGTAAAAAAGTTCTATAGAATTGCGTTGAATTATGTTGAAAAGTATAATATATACATATTGCGTGTTGATATGTTCAATATCTAATAATCTCGATATACTTGCGCGAGACGTATAGAGATATATCATAGATAGATACGAGATTATATTAAAGAGAAATTATCTCTCGAAAGGATTTTTTTTCATATTAAGCAATTGTTTATTTAATGATTTTACCATTGTGCCTGTATCAATATCTCGGAATATTATTCATAAAGATTGTTTCGGCATATACACTGTATGAATATGTACGAATACGTTTTGTGCGGATAAATCGATGACGATTGGCAGATTTTAACACTGACGCCTTTACACACGAGAACCAGTTGTTGGACCAAATTATCGGCGCTCGGCCGTTTTGATGTAGAGATGCGTTTACTTTTTCTAGAGAATAATTCGCGAGAAAAGAGCAAAAAGTGAAGATGAGAAAAAATTAATCGCACGACACTGTGACATTTACGTTACGGCGAAAAAATTTGATTGATACATTTATTTCAAAATTGATCATAGTAATGTTTCATTTATAATTGTATTCAACATGAAATTGAATTTCACGTTTGATTAATAGAAATAAGTTTATTGTATAAAAAATAGATTTATAATCTCTTTGATAAAAATTCGAAAAGCTTGTGGAAAAATCGATACATTTTTATTAAAAATTAATTTTTCTCGCATATATAAATTAATTCCTTGGCATAATTGTATAATGTCACATTGTCAACTTTCTTCTCGAACATTTCCATATTTCTCGCATTCTATAATTTCGCATTAAAGTTATATCTCTGCTCACAGTAATAAGTCATAAGCAGTACATATTACGACCGATGTGTGTGAAATTGGACAAAATTATTATTACATTATTTTAGCGAGAGGCACATTGCTACAAACAGTGATAATTTACTCTATGAAATGTGTAATTATATAAAAAAAATTTGCTCGTAACAATGTAAAGTATATTTTATTATAAGATAGAAAGAGCACACAGTGGTGAATTATCCAACGCCTGGCCAAAGTATTATTATTAATGATATAACATACATTGCAATTAGTTTTATAGAGTTGGCATGTGCTTTTTTCTGATAAATATATATAATTATGGACAGAAAGAAATGATAACTTGTTAGCCAAGCGCGTTAAAAAGTAATTTTTTTCCTTTTGTTTTTATATATACACTGAAGTGCATTATTCTTGGGAAGATACTTTAATGGCCTCTGTACATTAGTATTAATGATACTGACATAATTGTATAAACAAAAAGCAAGAGATTCTTAGAGCACATTATTGATTTCAGATATAAAAACATATGAAATATACGAAAAAAATATTCTTCATCAAATGTATAAATATTACAGAATCATATATATTATATACTGATGTCTGATTATGAAATATTGAACAAGTGTTATCAAATAAAATGTTGTAATCTGTGTTGACAATCGCCAAATGTTCTAAGCTTAACATGATCGTTAAGAGATACATGCCTGTTTGAGCGATAAAGGTTTTCAATATTTGGGGACAAAAATTGCCAAATATCCAAACAATATTTGTCTCCAGATACAATTGGCCAGAAGAAATTTTTTTTCATGGCCGAGGAGAAGAGGTATATAATGAGATACATGAAGAGATCTTGATATTGAGAAAAATTGAAAGCATTTGTGTATATATTTTCTTAACTGATCATTACATCTATGCGATTTAATTAGATCGCAATGGATTTAAAAAAAATGCAATTTAAGAATGCAATAAATAAGATCTGTAGATAGACAGTCCTACTTGCTTCATTGCCATATTTAATAGTCGTAGTCGTACTATTTTACTTTGATACATTTTCCTTTTGCTTTTTCTGTTTTTTCGTTTCAATCTCGTCAATCGGCGCAGGTTTTACAAACGGAATCTCGCTTTCGTATTTGGAGGGCATGTATTCCGCCAGTATTTTTGGCACCCTGATGCCAGTTTCTGTTTGATGTACTTCTAAAATTGCACAAATTACGCGTGTTACTGCGCACATTGTCGCGTTCAACATATGAACATAATCCGTCGTAGCGTTCATTTTTTTGGTTTGACCATATCTATGGATTAAACAAGTTTTATAAAATTCTTATATATTAATTATTATTAGCAATTTATATATTATTTAATACACTAACCTTACTAGTAATCTTCTTGCTTGGTAATCCAAGCAGTTACTGCACGATACGAGTTCACGGAATGCACCAGATCCAGGAAACCAGGCCTCCAGATCCAGCTTCTTGGAAGCTGCATGATTCAATGCACCAGATACAATATTAACTATGCGATAAGGAATTTCTAAGGCCTGATAAAATTCTTCCGCATTGGAAATCATTTCTTCCATCATCTCCCAAGATTTATTATTGTAAGGTGAGGTAAGACAAAACTGTTCTACCTATAAATAACAAAATAATGAACATGTATATGTATATACTATGTATTATGTTTTATTTAATGCAAGTAATTAATTCTCTTTAGCCCCAAGTACCTTTTCAAATTGATGTACCCTAAAAATACCTCTAGTATCTCGTCCATGAGAACCAACTTCTTGTCTGAAGCAAGTAGAGATACCGGCATATTTTATCGGTAAAACATTTTCAGCTATCCATTCACCTCTATGAAAAGCTGCTATTGGCTGTTCCGAGGTAGCAATGAGATATTTTTCCTCCATTTCCTTGTCCTCGTTACGTTCGCTACCTTTACCAATGACCTAATAGGAAAAAAATTATAATTATAATTGTAATTAAAATCTTTATATAAAAACACAAGTACCTTGTATAATTCCTCATCAAACTGAGAAAGTTGCGCTACTTCTTGCATCGCATCTTTTCGCATAATAAATGGAGCATAAAGAGGTACGTAATCTCTTTTAAATAATTTTCTTAACGCTAATTGTATTAATGCTTGTTGCAGAAACACTGCCGGTCCAGTAAGGAAGTAACCTCGTCCACCGGACACTCCTGTTCCACGTTCACCATCCATTCCAGCAATCATATGAATCAAATCGACATGAGAGTATGTTTTCCTCTCGGTGCAATCCCCCCAAGTTCTTTCTACCTAAGATAAGACGTTAAAATTAAAAAACAATTTTATATAGTTAAAATTAAATATATATAATTCAAATAAGAGACATTCATCGATAAGAGACATTAATCATACTTTGTTCTCTTCCTCGTCATTGCTAACAGGTACAGATTCGTGTAGATGATTTCCTACTTCTCTAAGAGCATTATTCCTTTCTAATTCAGTCGTTTTCAGACTTTCGTCGTTTTTCTGTATTGCATCATCAATGAGACTACGTATCTTCTTGATCTGCACCACTGTCAATGTTTTCAGACTTTCGGAGGTCAAATCAGCCAGATTATCAGAGATTGCTCGAGGTACATCGTCGACATCACCAAGTGGCTCCTTCTTCTTCATTTTCTCGCCAATCTCCTTGCTACACAAGTTTTTGAGCTTATTAAAATTATCGGCGCAATGCCGCAGCTGTCGCCAACGTTTATCCTTTTCGATCACGGTATCCACCAGCTGCACATCTTTGAAACGTTTCCTCTGGTTCTCCCGGATCTTCTCCGGATCGAAACCCTTGTCTTTGCGGAAAAGGTCCAGATCCAAAACCATTGTTCACGGTTTTCGGTCAAATAAATAGGGTCTTGGACACGTGGAGGCACGTGTTAAAGCCGGTTATCTTCGGAGTCGAACTGTCAATGAGGATACGAGATACGAGAAAAGATCGCGTGAGAAAACCCCCACCGGCGAGACTTTCTGCGCATGTGCGAATACGTCATTGCCCCACGTGACTAATCTCGATCCCGATGCTTGTGCAGCCGAGTGTAATCAGTGTGGAAGCATGCGGAATAATGTGAGAAAATCAGAGAGCGCGAGAAAATCACGGGACAAATTCCACCAATGGATCTTTATACATGTATGTACGAGTGACATCGCTGTTCATCTCTGTCAGTTTCGGAAGAAAATATTTAAATACCGTGCGGCGCTCGAACTTTGATTACGTTTTGCTTGACGAACGCAAGACTCTAGCAATATTCTTTCTTGACGTCATAGAGGTAAGGTGATAGAATAATATTTTTCGTTTCGATAAACTTGTAACTCCTATCTGTTCAAGCGTACCGATTGGCTACTGTTGTATAAAACTGTAGAATCCTAGAAATTTTTTACATAATTGAAACAATCAAGATTTGCGAGTTTAAATTCTTGCTGTTTGAATTTTTAGATGTTAAATTTGAAGGATTTACGATTCTTAGAATCGCAATTCTTGACATTTAAATTATATAGAATTCTCTATCTATTTAAGCCTCAAATTTACGCGATTATTCTCTATTATTATGTGCATATATGTATTCGACATATATGTATCGATTATTGAAAATTTATACTGTCACTACTCGCAAAAACTTGTCAGTCTTCTAGTTCAGTATTCTAGTTTCTAAAGATTGATAAAAAATTGAAAAAAATATTATCAGGTAAGAAGGAGGCGGCATATCATATTTAAAATTTAAAGAATTGTCAATTTCAAGAATTTCTAACATTTCTTAATCTTGATGCGCGAACAGACAGATTGATTACCGATGCGCGCGCATCGACGCGACGATTCAAATTCAATACGAATCATGGGAAAGGTATAGCATCGTAATCGTGATACGCGATACGCGGCGTCCTTAGTACAAACGCGTTCGTCGTTTCGCGAGTGTCGTCGTTACGCGAATCTTCCTCGGTTCGAATTTCGGCGAATAGTCATGATGTTCTCCTGTTTTCCAATTTAAACTTACGAGGGAACGCGCGTATAATCGGTGTAAGTAGTTGTGGAAAATCGAGACGTTATATAGAGATATTTTTTAATTATATACATAATATTCAAAGTATATAGATATTTAAAATGTAGGAGAATTTCTTTATTTTGTATACAAATTCTTTGACGAAGCTGTCAAGTATAAATCCTCAGTGAGGATTTTTCTTGAATGAATCAAAGCCTAACTAATATATATTTAATTAATTGAGACTCTTAATTAGTCAAAAATTACGCCTGCAGAAAGAGGCGTGTAATTTTTCTCTGAGAGATAAAATGTTCTAATCACAAAAAATTTATACATACATATATATACACACACACACACACACACACACACACACACACACACAATATACATAATATAATACAAGTACATATTTAACTATACATACAGTACACGGTATTTATATACAATATATCAATAATTTTCTGTAATTAAGAAATTATTTCAAAAAAATGTACACACGTATAGACAAAATTCTGTTTGTTACTCGTTTTTTCCTAAGAATGATTATAGCAAATTCTGATTGAATCAAACTTTAGGTTTTACTCGGTCAAGAGGTCACTGCATATCACCCTCTGATCTAAATTCTCCTATATATATATATATATATATATATATATATATATATATATATATATACTCAATCACGCACATATTATATTATACATTAGAAAAGTTAGACAATTGATTCACATACTATTATTCCTCAAAGTGAAAAATTATAGCAACTAAAATCATAAAGGCGAAAATGGATTGAATAAAGGGAAAAGTTTTTCTCTCATAAAATTGTTAAAATATTTAACTTAATTTTCAAAATATATTTATTCTCTTACTAATCACATAAATTATTTAGCTCTGAAATATTTTTCTGGATATGTATAAGAAAGCTTAATCGTAGATAAATTCAAGTTAACATTGAATCGTGCAGTTATATTGATTTTAATTAATCAGTTAATAAAACGATCAAAAGAGAAATATTAAATGTAAATACAATATAAATTTCAAGCAATCTGTTTTTATACAATGTTTTTCTCTAGCAAAAATATACTTAATAATTTAAATGTTAATATGTCGCATAGAGAAACATGATTTATATAAATTGGAAAAATAATTTCGGAGTTAAACATCTCCCTTTGAATATTTCGATGTTTATCTGGATCCATGAATATAGATATATCCAATTATACGTTATATGAATAATATATTTACGCATTGATAAAAATGCGATGTGTCATGAGCCAGACAATTCAAGGTCAGCTCACCTACGAAGGTTGACTGTAAGAATAGAATATTTGACAAAAAGCTTTCCAAGTTCCAATAATTTGATAATAATTTTCGTATTTTATTTATGAGATAAATGATGGATTGCATATTGATAGTTTTCATCATTGATTATTCTCTTCATTCTATTGTAAGCTCAGAACTGGATATTTATTTGTTATGTGCATGTCTTTTTTATTATATAATATATATATATATATATATATATATATATATATATATATATACAGAATACATCATTAACACACAATTCTCGTACTCCCAAAATTTTACAAATATATATATATATATATATATATTTTTTTTTTATCTTTCATATTTATATTAGATTCTCTGAATTCATGTAATTTTAATATAAAAATAGAATGTATTGGAGAGAAAACATTGCAAATGAATGCATCGTATACTGAAGCAATAGCATAACATTAATTGCATAATGCATTAATGTATTTGAATGTCTCAAAAATAGAAAGAATTATACAAATTTGATGGAGAAAAATTACGAAGAAAAATCAATGATTATGTTATTTTTTCTAAAAATGAATCACAAACACATATCTATTTATTTCATAAAAACTAATTTTAATTACACTATTACTAGTTTGATTAAAACTAATTCTAATTACACTACATACACACACACACACACACACACACACACACACACACATATTTCTTGATTATATACGTATATATCAGGTTTCATTGTTATTTTTTAATTTTTTTTTTATTTATTTCATTGATTTGAAAAATAAAAAGAGATAACGTAATATACGTTTTAAATTGCCAATCAAATAATGAATCATATAAAAATATATCTTGTGATGAATGCCCTATAACTTTTATTAATTAAAATATTATATATATATATATATATATATATATATATATATATATACATACGTACATTATATTTTACTTTAAATTACATTTAGAAGCATTGTTTCATTCCCCTTACCTTATATAATTATTATTCATTTTTTTTGTATTTTCGGGATTACGCGTTATTTATCTTTTGTATTATACATAAAATGAAATAATGATGTAAATCAATAGCAATCATATAATATTCTTTATATAACGTAAAATTTTAGATTTTGCTCTTTGCATAAAGAAAGATATTATAACAAAATAATTGTGACTTGCCCTCATATTAAGTATTTTTATTGTTGTATCTTAAAAATATAAGAAAGATATAACTTTACATTAGCGAATAACATATATGATATTCTTCATTTCCAGATGTCCGAATCCGTAAAAGTGGCAGTAAGATGTCGGCCTATATCCAACAAGGAATTACAGCAAGGATGTCAAGTATGTTGTACTATGATGAAATAGTATTGTTTATCAATACATTATTACATAGTATTAATATTACAAAATTTAAATCTTAATTTTAACATTTACTAATATTAAATAATGTTAAAAAAGTAAATATCTGTAAATATCAGGATCTATTCCACATATATGATGTGCGTATTTAAAGAAAAATAATGAAATTATATATACCAAATAATTGTATTTTATTTTATGGCAAAAAATTCAAAATTTAGTGATAAAATAATTAATAATAAATATTAGCAATTAATATCAAAAGATCAACTGCAGTATTTTAGTCAAGAGTATTAAATTAAAACAAAAATTTGGTTTGCTTACATTGAGTTGGTAAAGTAAGTTTGATTTTCTTTGATACAGCTTTACAATATTCTTGAAGAGAAAATAAATTCTTCTTTCGAGTATCTACGATCATCTCATGATAATGAGATTTTCTAACATTTGTGATGAGTATATTTTAAGATTATTATCAAGAATATATTCTTTGTTAAAGAAAATTATTACTTAAAAAAAGAAAAATAAACTGAGTAATTGCTTTGTTGACAGTAGAATGATATTTTTCTCTGTATGTGCACTTTTGTACAATGTATATACGTATGGAACGTGCGTGCGTGCGTGCGGTGCGCGCGCACGCGCATACACATGTCTATATTATTGTATTAAGTTATAGACCTATTAGATAATTACTTTTTTCATTTGGTTTATTTCCGATCTGAAAACTCACTCAAAAAGCGACATTGCTATATATCGAGCGCGTTGTAGCCTAGCGACCGTATCAAAACATGCGCGCGTGTGTTACGCATGCAGATGTTGCACTTTCTACTTCAATGAGACATCAGATCGCGATAGATTCTTTGTGCTTATCATAGATTTTGCTCGATTTAGGCATACTTATTTAATTAAATCTCATTTTAGAAAAAATCACATACCTTCTATTTTCTTTTTTCAAAATAATTTCTTACTGTATATATTTCTTCTGTAAATATATTTTTAGATATAATTATATACTTTTTATCATATGTGTATGTTATATACATATGTATTTATATATCAGATATTTAAATATAAATATACATATACAGAAAAGAAAGAGATAAAATTATGCTGCAATTTTAAATACAATTCTGTATTTTGTAGTACATTTTATTATACTTTAATATTTATGTTGGATCGAATAAAATTTATATTTTTCCGATAATTAAATTAAATGAATCATTTTATATAATATTTGATTTTCAAAAAAACAAATTTAAAAATTACTAAGTTTTATTAACTATCATACTATTGTATGCGAGTCAATGCATGCAATACAGATAGCATCGCATTTACAGGAGTTTATCGATGGCGTGTAGAATATGTGCCAAATCGATAGTACACCAAGTCACTCTTTACCATCTTTCCTGTAAATGACGACACATGTGCTACTTTATACACATATATACATACTCTCACATATACGTGTATCGTATATGCCATCAATCTATACTTCTTGTTTCTAGTCATATGACAACTCACGCGAAGAGAGTTTTGCGTGCTTTAAACTTGAATAATTTTGAATCTCTGGGATTCGAATAAAATTTATATTTCATGAAAATTATTATAATGAGGAAATTCTTTAATTGAGATTGTTCCCAGATTGTTTAATTGAAGCATCTTTTGAAGAAATTTCACTCATTTTCAAAAACATTTAATTCCATAATTTAATTAATTCAATGTTTTCTTCAAATTTGAATTTGGGGAAATAAATTTTCATTCGAAAAAATTTTGATTAAAAAATACAGAAATATTTTACATATTACAAGTTATTATATATATATATATATATATATATATATATATATGTGTATGTTTGTATACATATAAATGTCACAAAATTCTGTATGAAAAATTTACAATTTAAAAATTATTTTTTTATATTAAAATATTAATACAAAAAATATTAAAATATAAGATTCCATTCTCCATCATAATTTACAACATTTTATATGTTCTATATAATATACATAGATAGAAATATAACAATATATAGAATATAATAATTAATTGTATTTACCTTACTATATTTAACTTATGTAAATATTTTCTGAGAAAAAAAAGAATTCAAATTTTATTTAAAGCACGTCACGGAATGTGGGGATAACGAATGGAGATAGATAGCATGTTCGTGCACAGTGTCCTCGCAAATCGCTAAATAGTTTATGTATCGATGTACGTAATCCACATTACCGTAATTTACCTACAGCTTACCTATGTATATCAAAGCGAAGCAAAGTCGCTTTCCGACAAAAGAAGACAATGCACACATATCTAACGTTCTTATCATAGGTGCTAAAATGTTACATCGCACTCCACTTGCATTTTGCAATCGCTCAACTTTTTAACTTAACTTAATTTAATTTAAATTATCGTGAGATAAACTTGACAAAATGTCCGAAAAATGAGATTATCAAGAACACTTGTGGGAATATTTGAAAATATGTTCGAATTTTATATATATATATATATATACCGGACAAAACGTATTGTTATATATATATATATATATATCATTAACAACTTTGAAAACTGTCAAAAATATATGCGCAATATTGAAAAAGATATACATAATTGAAAAAGATGACTATTTTTAAGAATCAAAATGTAATTTCTGTTATTAATTGTTAAAATTTTTAATATTTTAATTATATTAAAGTATAAAATAACCAAAAAATATATAATTTAGTAATATTAATATATGTTTTTGTTCATTAAGATTAAAGTAACGACTTGCTTGTTTCTATAAGTTAAGTGGTGCAATACGTTTTGTCCGGTATTGTACACGTATGTATATTACATAAGAAGTGCAACTCTTTAACAAATCGTTTATTGCAATTTTATAACCATATACAAGCGATTATAGGTCGACATATATAATTCTGTCCCAGTTTCACAGTCAGTAATATTCAATCCTATACACGTGGTTTTATATCTGTGTAACTATCTCTTCGCAGAATTTGCCGCATTTGTGAGTCATTGTAGTTTATTATCGAACAATTATTATCAAATATATTTTTCACTATTATGTACAACAGTTTTTTTGAATGGATTTTACACAATAGTTTTACTTTGAATTATTTCTTGTATTGAAATCATCCCTTATATTAGCATTAATTCGTATTATTATCATATTAATATTTTATCATCTATAGAAATATTTTATTTAAAATTTTGTTATGTAACTTCTTTTTTAGTATAATATTAAAAATATTTCTATTTTTCTGCCATTTATATATTAATGCCATTTTATGATTAATTTATTAAATATATATCCATATATAAAGAATAATGAATAAACGAATAAATGTTTATATTCTTATATTTGAAATAATTATAAAATATCATTTAAAAAATTATAATTTTTTTTCTTCCTATCGTGTAAAAGATAACTTTTCATAAAATTCTATAAAAAATTATTCTGTATTAAACTTCTAGAAAATAATCGACCACTAACGCGGACAATAGAGAAATATCGATTGTGCTATTATAATTGATTTTTATCATATATACATATTTATTTTTCACTATCATATTTGTCGTAGAACGTCGTGACAATCGATTCGCTGACAAAATCTTGCACTCTGGAAAGTTGTGGCGGTGGAAGTGGAAAAATTTACCAATTTGATGCTGCGTTTAGTCCATCTGCTTCGACGGAATCGGTTTATGAAAATGTGGGTTCGGTTATTGTCGAAGCTGTCTTGGAGGGTTATAATGGTACCGTGTTTGCTTATGGACAAACTGGTTGCGGAAAATCATTTACTATGCGAGGATTCATCGAACGAGCGTTGGAACATTTGTTTGAGGCGACTTCCACTGCTAGTTCGGAGACAAGGTATTATATATTACAATTTTTCTCTACCATTGAATCAATTTTTACCAACAAAAAGAATATATATGTATATATATATATATATATATATATATATATTTATTTATTTATTTATTTGTTATCAACAATTTTTATTTTAATAATTCTTCTCGTTTATTTCTTATGATACTAATGTCAGATTATATATATATATATATATATATATATATATAATATTATATAATATTTGATTTTTAATTGAATTATTTTAAGTATTGCATGTATGTAATGCAGTAGAAATGTTTACAATTTTATTTCTTATGTTTTTCTCTTGTTTAACTTTCTTTATACTTGTTAATAGATAGATAAATATAAGAGAAAAACTTGAGGAATAAAATTGTAAACATTTCTACTGCATTACACACATGTAATACTTAAAATATAAATTCAATTAAAAATCAAGCATTTTTAAAAATTACATTTTTATTATATTTCTTCAAAACTTTTTAAATCTTAAAAAGTTCTAATTATATTTTCTATGTTTAGATACTTAGCGTTGCTGAGCTATCTTGAGATCTACAATGAGCGATTGCGAGATCTATTACAAGACGATACCGGGGAAACTCTGACTCTGAAAGAGGACCCGACAAAAGGCACTTATGTCGCAGGTGGTTTGCGCGAAGTTACCGTCAAAGATGCAACCGAATGTGCCGCGTTGGTTCAACAAGGCGATCAAAGAAGAGCAGCAGCCGCGACGAAAATGAATGCTGCCAGTTCGAGAAGTCATGCAGTTTTAACTCTATCACTCGAAGCAATTGCCATTAATGATGATGATAAACGCGGCAATGCTATCAGAAGGGGACGACTGCATTTAGTCGATCTTGCAGGATCTGAAAGACAAGCTAGAACTGGAGCTACAGGTGATCGTTTGAAGGAAGCTGCCAGTATCAATTTGAGTTTGTCAGCATTGGGGAATGTCATTAGTGCATTGGCTGCCGGAAATGGAAGACATGTTCCTTATAGGTATAAAATAAGATTATTTTTTCTTATGTATAAATCTTTATGCTAATCCTTTTAATCATTTCAATTATTTTGATTAAAATGTAATCAAATATAATTAAAATGACACAAAATTAGATTTAAGAAAATGATACAAAATTAGATTTAAAAAAATCAGATAATATAGAAAATCCTATAAGGAAGATTCAATTTAAAACTTGTCTTTCATCACATTTATATTATATTTTATCATTAAATTAAATATCTTTAAATTTATCATTAAATAAATATCTTTAAATTATTTTTTTATATATTAATCTAAAAAAATAATAATATTAAATATATTATATATTATATATATAATTTTTCCACAGATTTCATTGATTTATTATTTATTGTTAAAAAATAGATAAATATAATAGAAAATAGTTATATATTGTATAAATTACTAGAAATAAATAATTCAAAACATTACGAATAAAAAAATATTCTTTAGAGATAGCAAGCTGACGAGACTATTACGAGATAGTCTAGGAGGAAATGCCAGAACTCTGATGATTGCCTGTATAAGTCCAAGCGACATTGATGCTGAAGAAACTCTCAGTACTTTGCGCTATGCTGCCCGAGCTCGTTGTATTAAGAATAAACCCATTGTTAATGAAGATCCCAAAGACGCTCTTCTTAGGCAGTATCAGTTGGAACTTCAACGTTTGAGAAAATTACTTGATTCTAGTGATCAATTAAATGTTGGATCGGACTTCCAGAAAGATATAGAAGAAGAGGGAGAAAGTTTGAAGGAGAATCAATATGCCGAAGAGGTGATAAAATAATTTTATAAATTTTTCATTTGTCCTCATCATTTATAATTTTAGAAGTATATAAATTCTCTTTTAATAATTTTAAAAAATCTTTTCTTATCACTATTTGTTACATTATTCGTTTTTTATGTTAATATTACATATTATTCTATTGTATATAATATTATGTATATACTTTTTTCTTTATAAATTTTATGTTATTCTATGACAGAATTTAAATATTTTTAAAATTTTATCTGAAAATGTAATTAAGTGATGCAGTTATATTATCGTTAACATAAATTATATAATAATATAATGTAACTATAAATAAATATAATATAACTATATAAACAATAAATATTATATAATTATAAATTGTATTATAAATATAATAATAAAAGAAAAATATAAATTAAGGTGGAGAAGCTGAGGAAAGAATGCGAAAACTCAAATTTATCAGCTCAAAAGCTAAAAGAAGAGTTAGAAGCCCTAAAATCTCGATATGAATCGGGATTAAATGTGACGAACAATGTCGACAAGATTGAAAATCTGAATCAAGGGGATCAAGAAATGGATGAATCAGATAAGGAACGAATAGAAAGAAGAAGAAAGAAGAGAGAAGCAGCTTTGCAAGATGTATTAAAAAGATTGGAAAAACTGACGATTGGCGGAGAAGAGATCGGGAATATAGAATTGAAGAGGAGAAGAGAGAAAAGGAGGAAGAAGCTAGAAGTTCTTGTAGGGGCATTGGAAGCTAACGATGCCAATGGTAGTGTCTTCCAAGTATATGGTCAACTCAGGTTCGTAGATTCTCTACGCGTTATTATTTGATGCTTACTTGGAATCGAACAAGAAAAATTAAATACTTTTTCAATTATATTTAAGATTTAATCTATTAATAATATAATATGTACAATTTTATATGTTTAAAATAACAGATCGACCGAGGATGCGCTGAAAAGGATGGCGAAGCGAGTGAAACAATTAGAAGCTGAAGCGACGGATCTCCAGGCATCTTGGGATGCTGAGCGTCGTGAACTTCTTCGAAGAGAATTATTGACATCTCAAGTATGCGATCTTATGATACCCTATCTTCGTCCAGGTTGCCCGTTTCGAGATATTGCGGCGATAAGGGCGGCAGCAACCTGGTGTGATGAATTAGGACGATGGCGATTGCCAGATGTGTCTCCCCATATTCCTCTACCTCCAGCCGCTCCTGTAACGCGAGGGGATGTTCTTCATTCGACTGGAATTTCCTCGAAGGCGGATCTCAATAATAATAGTAATAATAGCGGTAATAATGATGAAGATGAGAGTGATCAAGATAATGATAACGAAGGAAATAGTAAAAGTATGGAGAATAAAAAAGGTTGGGATATCGTGGACACTTATTTCCGAAGGAGTAGAGTAAATACTCTCTTGGCGCACGCGAGAGAAGCAAAAACTTTCGGTGAGTATATATTATGTATTGTCTGTAATAAATATATATATATATATATTTTTTTTTCTTATGTGACACATACACACACACTTACTTTTATTTTATCGTAAGCATCCTATAAAAAAATATTCCGAAATTTCAGTAATTAAATTGGAAATCTCAATAATTAATAAATAAAATATTGGTGTGTGTTTTAAATTTGTCAACATTGTTATACAAAGGTCTTTAATGTGAATAAATAGATAATAATACAACATTCTTAGATTTGTTAGAAAATCTGAAAAAAATGTTTAAAGTTTTTGTTAAGATTTTGTTAATTCGAATTTTCTAACAACTGATAATAATAATAACATGAATATTTCAGAACCGGGGAATCGTTTGAGTAGATCCGGTGGTTCAGAAGACTCGATGCCGATCGCAGGTAGCGGCGGCCATCTGCAATTAAATGCACTGAATTTACAAAGTAGCGCACCGGTACTCGGCGATAGCCCAAATCTTCGCAAATCGACGATTCGCGGGGGCTGGATCCACGATGAACAATCTAATCGACCTATTTACAATACTTTCATCAACACCACGAAGAAGCCTCCTCCAAGGATATTGGAAGCCTTACCCTCGTATCCTCACGATGATATGCCTTCCAAATCACCTGTTCGTCCTGGCAAAGAAGAGTTGAAGTAAGTACATTTAAATAAATGATAATAAAATTTTTTAAGTAGATTTAAATAAATTGATAATTTTTGTTCAATCTGATAATTGTTTGAATTTTTTCTTTAATAGTTCATTAATTTGTTAAAAATTTATTGTAGTTCAAATTTTTAATAAATTGAATAAATTGTACATACAATACTTTTGCTAAATTTTACTTTAAATATTAAATTTAACACTAAATAAAATTATACTTAAAGTAAAATTTCGCAAAAGTATTGCATGTACTATCTATTTAATTTATTAAAAATTTGAATTATAGTAAATTTTATATATTCACTTTTAATGTTAGGATATCTGAGAGAGGAGTACCGCCAAAATTGCTACGCAACAACGATACCTTTTCTTGTCACCATCCGTTCCACGTCGAGCACGCTTGTTCGCCGACTTATTGATGAAGTCATCCTATAGTTAACTTTTAACAAATCATCATATCTTGTGGCTGTGTGTGTTGAAAAACAAGCTAAAGGAAATTGTGTGGGAAATATGTAAGGTATATTAATTTAAAGATACTTTTGAGAGAATAGATAATGAAGAATAATAAAATGAGAATAGATAATAATTTTTTTTTTTAGAAAAAATCAATTTTTATATTTATTAAACAATTAGTCATTAGATTAATTGCATTATATATAAACTATATATAATGCTCCAGATATTAATATAAATAATTCTAAAATGTTTTAAATAGAATTTAATAAAATTTAAAACGAATTTAATAAAATTTGTAATTAAGATTTTTAATCAAACTTATAATATTTTCCTTTTTAATTTTAAACAGAAATATTTAATAATACAAAAAAAAAACGTTAATAATTGACTCGTTCAATTTAGTTTACTGATTCAATGCAATATAATAAATGCAATAATTCTCTCTTTATTCTGTTTTTCTCTTTCCTATTTTTTCGTTTTATACGTAACATCTCAATTTTTGAATGCACAAATAAATAATTTGTTTTCTTAATATGATAAAACATTTTATGTTCACATTTTATGTTTTCTTAATATGATAAAACATTTTATGTTTTATCATATAAGAGAATTAATATAATTTTCCATCAATATAACTATTGATTAATTTGGGCATATTTTATTTCAAAGAAATCTCTTGATATTACATCAGATTCTAACTTTGTTTGACCTTTACATGCTATAAAAAATATACACGCAATATAATCTAGTGAAATCGATCTAAGTATTTCAGTTAATGAATTTCACAACAAGCTGACTTGTAAAAGTCTATTACATCTGTTAAAACACATAAATAAAAATATCACAATAAAATTTTAAACATTATATGTGTTTGTTTTGTGTGACTTTCGGTAATAATATATAAAACTTCAAAATTGCAAATTATGGATTGCTTAAAATAAACTAATAAGTTTTAAAAATCACATTTATATAATAATATTTTAATTAAATTGTATTTATTCTTAAAACTTCAGAAAGAGAAAGACAACAAAATAAAGAAAAAGACAATATAATAATTTTTATTTTACAATAATTCTATTATTTTGAAAGTAAAAGACTTCGGATATTAATAGATATAATATAATTATATATAATTTTTATACATATAATTTATAATTATGTTTACTGTTCAAAAATCTAAACGATCTTTGTGATGTATATAGACCTATATGAAAATCTCTCGCTGAATCGTTTTTTATTAATTTAATCAAACAAAAATCTTCAATGTTACGCAATTACTATCCATTTATTTATCCATCTCTCTTTATATATTTATCTCTATATTATTCAATAACTATGCATGTATTATAAATAATGATTTCTGTTGCTTTCTAGATTCAAGAAGCAGAGGTCAATTCAAAAGAAATGTCAAGGCTGACAACAATGAAAATTAATGAATAATGGATCAAACTTTAATCTGTGAGATGCTGTGCCTTCAATCTGTTACAAAAGATGACTTAATATAATATTCTTCGAACTCTCGCGCTTATTTCAAGTTTATATTAAGAAATAAAGTAAACATTTGAAAAATATATTAAAAGCGCGATTAAATTTTAAATGGATAAAATTTATATTAAAACATCATTAAAAAGAATTTTGTTCAATAGTGATATTTTTATATCTCTCTCATAATAATGTACCTGAGATTTGCCTTTTTTAAAATAAGAAACAAAATATGAATCTATTTGAAGACTGCTATATAGGATGATTCATAAAAAAGCAGTCAGATATTATAGCATCATATATATTACAAATATTACATTAATATTATTTTTGTTAAGAGATTGTATAAATTACAAAATGAAAATAATCGATAGTTTTGCAGATTGTTTATAGTATTCATGATCTTTGGATACATTGTTGAATTATTCAATTTATTATATTGTTGGATATATACAATAGTTGAACCATTGCTGCTGGTTTCTTATGTTGGTCGTTTTTCGTCCTTATGCTTATCAAAAAGGACCAAAATGATAAAAAATAACTAATCTTTACACACAATTGTTTAAAAAGATTGTGTATAAAGAGGTACATACTTATAATAAATAAAGAAATGTATATTCATAAGTATTATAAGAGATACTGTGATCTAATCTGTAATATGTAATATAATACAAAATGTTTGAAAAAAGTTTTAATTAAAAGAATATTTGACGGAAGGAGCCTGACAAAATAATTCCTTTATGACTCATTAACTTGGAGAGTATGTTAAAAAATTATGTATAGGTCATATATTGAATATTACATTATAATTTTCTATTTATATTATTATATTTTATCATTATATATATATATATATATATATATATATATTTATTTATTTATTTATATTTTTTACGTTTTTTATAGTTATATGTGTAATTTGTTATAATGTGGCATACATATATAATGCCATTATTATTACAATATTACATTCGAACCGGCGCATTATATTACCTAAATGCATTTATTCTTTATACACACTATGCATTACGTATTTTATTCTCGAGTTAATAAGGATTATTTTTTACATTGAAATTTATCAAATAAAAAAGACAAAAAAAAGCATGACATTGCATGAACACGTATATTGCACTTTGTACGATTATAATTGATGTATAATAATTGTCTGCAAAAACATCACTTTAAACTTTCGAGAAAACTATTATGTTTCAATATAATAAACAAAATGTTTCAACAAAAGAAGTCAGAAGAAGAGAAACATGACAATTTACGTAATGATAGTTTCCGAATGTGGAGAAATCAATATAATGATATGATTAAATATAGTTATCAAAGCCGTTATAATATTGAAGAACACCCAGCAAACACAGAATATTGCAGCAGATCGTAGTAGATTATATTTATACATTACAATGTTATTTATATATTAATTCCATCTCGAATATTAATTAATAAAACGAATATAATTCAATTACTTTTTATTTTATATTTCCATTTTCTTATTTTTTGATAATTATAGAAGAATGTTGTGGAAAAATAATCCTTATTAATTATGATGTTGATAGAATGTTGTAATATATGTTAAATTAATCACTGTCTTATATATACCCGGCAAACATAGAATATTACAGCAATATTACAACATTGCAGCAACATTGCTGCAATGCTTGCGAGATGTCAGAGCAAAAGATTCCGAGCGAGAGTTCTATGTCACATAAAGGACGATGTCATTGTCTTGCCTTGACTCTTGCATAAATATTCAGTTATATTATATCGTAAGTCATCCTAATATATTTTTCCTTTAATATTTTTCATCGCGGATAGAATCACCCGAAAAGTAAATTGATGGATTTTTCGAATTACACTGAAAATTGACATGCAAATATTAATTTTACATATGTATATATATTTTAACCTTTACACATTCAAATTCAATCTAACTAATAACTTTAAATTTATTATGGAAGCAACTTTGTATATTTCGTGAGATACGAATCATAACATGTATCAGTTTGAATAATGTTAATATATGTAAATATATGTAAACTTTAATCACAACAGGAAAAAATAATATTACCCAATTAATCGTAGATAAAAATAATATTATCTAACTCGTGCGTACAAAGACTATCGACAACAACTCAGCACAACACTGTTATCTTCGATAAAATAAGCAAATTATTATTTCTTGTTTGATGCCGAGATAATAATAACAGATTTAAATTTCAACCTTTAAACAGAGAACACTAATCACGAACGGAGAACGAAAGTGAGCGTTGAAGAAATCAGCCCACGGCTGCAAACTCTTACTTTCTCGCTTCTGCTTTCCCCGATGTTTCTTCTGATTTCGAGATCTACCACAGCATCTCCGCTCTTATGTCTCTTCTCGCTACATCCATTTTAGATGATCTATTGGACTATTTTCAAACAAAATCCGATTTTCATTGGAGATGCTTAGAAATATTATAATTAACACTTTTATATACACACATTGTGTGTGAAATATTTGAAAAGAGCTTTATTAGAAAGTACAGGATCTCTGAAAGATTTCTCTGTATGCGCATATATTCTTTCTATTATTCTCTAAAATATACAATACATAATTTTATTACTAAAACGTAAAGAGATAAGTTAATATATGTATATAGTTAATGGATCTCTCTCTCTCTCTCTCTCCTTATCTCTTCCATGTTATGACAATCGTGAAGCTCCTTTTCATTTCTGAATTGATTGTTGCAGTTAACTACCTGTCAAATTATTATGTTACAATCATGTTGATTATATATCGATTGCTCTTTCCTTGAATAGATTTGTATATGACAATGCATAAATTGTGAGACTATGATTCTAATAATTCAACATTTATCGTCATAATATGAAATAAAAAATATAAGATGACTTCAGGTCAAATGATAGTATAAGAATAATATTATTACTGATGACATATTATTACTTGATGAGGAAGAAGCAGAGAATGATACAAACATCTAATATTCGGACATATAAAGATTCGTTTGCTTAAAAAATTAAAGATCGCTTCATACTTCCTTTTTATGTGTTTGTGTATGTGTGTGATGTGATAAATGGACGAATTATTTAATCAAGTTTATTTTAATCTTAAATTATACAACTTAAAATCTATATATATTTAAAAAAATAAAGATTAAGTAAAATGAAAACAAACAGCTTTTCATAAATATAATTTCTAAATATAATAAAATATAACTATATTATATAAGATTTAATATTGAAAATTTTTATTTTAAATTTGAAAATGAATTTTGTATAATGACAAAAAATTATTGTAGTACACATCGTCAAATTTAAGATTAAAAACAATGAGTTTATATTTGATAAAGACATTTGATTTGGTAAAGACATTTTAACAATATCACTATCTGGAGACATATTTATTAGATTAAATCTAATAGAGAGAGAGAGAGAGAGAGGAAAAGAGAGAAATCTAATAAAAACAGAGAATACTATTATATAAAATTATCATTATTTTAACAATAATATTAACATGCGTGCGCTGTATTAAGATTCCATTCTTATTCATTTAAGTTTTCAATGAGAGATGTTTTACCTAACAAGATGTTTGTTTTTAATTCATTCATTAACAATTCTAAACAAATTCTTAATAGAAAAGATAGATTTTAATGTATACATATTCCAAAGTGCAATACATTAAACTTGGGAGGAAAATAGATTTACATAATTTATCAAAGAAATATAAATCTAAATGAATTATACTGAATTATACTGGAATAATTAAATAATCATTATTTAATTACTATTAAACGGAGCAGAAAATCACAAGCAAGATGTTGTAATATTTTCATTTTCAAACTTTATTTTTGTATGGAAATATCAGCATCAAATAATTAATATATAAAAATAATACTTATTTTTGCGATACAAACATAGATAATTTTGTGTCTAATTTCATGTATATTCAAATTTTATTGTAATTTATTTAATTGTTTAATGTAAATTTGAATTTGTAATAAAAATAACGAAAAAATTTGTCGGCTTTTGCGAAAGTAACTTGTTTCATGCAAGAATCAAGTTTGCATGACGATTTTTATGAAGCAATTGGCTGCTTTCAACATCAAATTTCTGCAATATCTGCAGGATTCGATCTCTCAATTAGGTTTTTTGTATTATAGACCATTATAAAACTAGTTGTCATAATTGTAAAACCGTTCAGATTACACATGCATGATATCATATTTACGTTTTTTTTTTCCAAAAATAAGATATGATATAAATCAGAAATTCAACTAGTTTTATAATGATCTATAATACAAAAAATCTAATTGAGAGAAGCAGCCAATTGCTTCATAAAAATGCATGTATTTAAATAAATAGATAAATATGGATAGAGAAATAGCTTTAAATATATTTAGTTTTCTTAAAAATTAATTATATAAATTATATTAAAATTGTTTATATTAAATGGAGATTTTATATGCAACAATTTAATGAACATAACAATTTTTTTAATTTTTCTGTATATGTTTATGTGTTTGTTATTCATCCCATGAAAAATTAAATAAGATAAAAACGTTTGATACAAATTTATGTTCATTTTCAATATGTTATTTCTATATAAATATATAAATATATATACATATATATATGTACGTATATATATGTACATACATATATATACACACAATCATTTTCTACCATCTCCTACAAAACCACTTTCTTCGAAAGTGAGAGCAATACTAATCGAATATAGTCGACGAAGTATGAAATCTGCGCAGAAAGTATATTTTTTAATACAAAATTTCACATAAGAAATTCTAGTGCACTTCATAAAGGGCTCAAACATAATTTAAAAAAAAAATAAAACTAAAACAAAAAAAAAGTAAAACTTGGTTTCATGTAAAATACGTACAATATTTACATATATGAGTTTGAATAAATTTATATCTGTTAATAATAATGTTATTATATTCGTTTTTTAAATATTCTTAAAATTTTTGTGATTTTAATTCCATACTAGAATAATTAAAAAAAGGGAATATAAAACTTCAAAATCAAAATGTAGAAAATTAAAGAA